GGTGACCTATTCAAACAAGCCTCATTAGGTGGACTCTTAATCATCTCATGCAAAGTTTTATTTTAAATTATTTGTTAATAAAAATTGTAAGACGTTTTGATATTGGAATTACTTCCCCATCTATACTCTAAATAAGCTTCATTTTGTTCCTTTTGAGGATTCATCATCAACCACTAATACGATCTCTAAATATCCATCGAAAGGACTTCTCCCAAATCCTATCATATCCTAGATTAATGGTTCACATGCTCAAATAAAAGGAGGTTGAGAAGAATACCCTGTGACTAAGGATATTTGCTCAGTCTGAAGCACAGTTTCACGAGCTTCAACTTCATGCATCCTCATATCCAACTCTGAACTCTTCCTATTTACCTCAGCAAGCTTGGCTTCAGCAGCATTCAACTTTTTCTGCAACTCCAAAGATTTCTCCTCAATTCCATGCATCAAAGCATTTGCATCGGCCAACTTCTTCTCAGATGTAAGTTTGATTTCTGCACGTTCCTCATTTACTTCATAGAAAGCCTTTTTAAGCTACRCCAACAGCAGACATGAAAATTACTTTCGACCATAGAATTCAAGAATAGAAAATTTTGAGACGGTAAATATGATAAAAAAATAAATAAATAAGCAAATGTGGTAATGAGGAATGGATGAGGCAAGAGTAGCATACACTAGACACATATTGCTTCTCAGCAGCTAGAGCTTTTTTCAAATTATCACTCCTCGTTTCCACTTCAGATAATGCAATTACATGTGCTGATTGTTCACGTTTGAGGATCTCCTCAGTTTCAGCTAGCTCTTGCCCTAGTTCATCATACTTTGAAGCCCACTCTTTCTTCTCCATCAAAAGAAGTCCCAAATTGTGCTGGTAATCAAAAAGCTGCCGACAAATAATAACCAGATAAAGCTATGTAAGAGCACAAAATAAGATCTAACAGAATTATACATGAAGAGTTACAAGCAACGAAGTCGTTTAATCCTATCACATAGGATGATTATACTAAAGAGTAAAGACTACAACGTTATAATGTGCATGCACCTATAACATTCAAAATGGAAAAAAGAATCCTATAACTATAACTAGCTCATTCACTAAGCTGCTCCACCCAAARTTATCATTTCTTAAGACCAGAAAAAAAATCCAGATTTACTCTTATTCAAAATGGAATGAGCGTTCCAACTTCAAATGTATGAAATTCAACATGATTAAACAACGTACCAACATAACTATAATTGGAATAATCTTTAAAATTTCAAAAAAATGTCATGAGAGAACTTGATTTCCATACTTTTTTTTAATGAAAAAAAATCATAGTTTCAGAAAGAATTCCCACACATTGGAATTCAATATGTCATTCCATGGTTGCTTAGCCTAATATATCAAAATCTATTTTAAAATTTTTTCTTTTACACAAGTACCCTATATTGAACTCGACGTATTTCTATCACATTTCCAAGCAACTAATGTGTTTCTTGCCATCTCCAATCACTTATAAAGGATCTCTTTTACGTCCCCAACAASTATTTCTTAACAACTACTTAAAGCTAAACAAGCCAAGAGATGTCAAAGTTGTTAAACGGCTGTTTCATAAAAATAAGATGAATGTGAATTGATGAACAAATGATCTAGCTCCCATCCTGAACTGAATTGCGACAAAGAAAACAGAAGGATTGAAGAAAGGACAACCGAATGCAATTTAGTTCATTTCCTACAGGCCACTGTAGGCTTGAATTGAAAAGAAATCCTTGTTTTTTTTCCCCAATCAAAAATTACAATGAAAGTTACAAAAATACCTCCAATCATAGAACAAAAACAGCCCAACAAAAAGCAAAAAATTACAAGAAACGCTGAAAACTGAACCAAATGACAAAGAATTACAAAATTCACTCGAATCCCAAACACTCAAAATTCAAACCAAATGACCAAATAAAAACCTACTAGGCTACTAAGAAGCAAAATATTTCTTCCTAAACAAAACTACCAAAAATATGAAGAACTCGGCACCATAGCTTGGAACTTGGAAGAAAAAAGAAAAATCTCCAATTCAAGAAAAACCAACCGCAAAAAGATCAAGAACTCAAACCAGAAAGATACTAAGGAAAAGATCAATCCTTGTTAAGAACCTTGATATCCAAATAGTCTTGAACGGACAGCCAAACTAAACACCTTTTTCTTAAACAAGATACGAAATTTTCATTTTTTATTGATGAATGAAAATAATATTGTTGAGTTCATTTCCATACTTTTTTTTTTTTTTAACAAGAACCGACGGCCAAACCGCACTTAATATTGTTGTGTCACAGAAGTGAATGCTTGGGGACAACGGCTGCCAGCAAAGAGAGATTAACAAGCTTAAAGTGGGTTTGCTAAATCCGTTATGATGCATGTCCATATGAGCATGAAAGGTTAATAATCTTGTAGATTGCCTGATTTTTCCATTTAGATATTTAAATTGTCAATGGCTTGTGTTTGTTCCAAATGAAGCTTATAGATGAGATAAAAATTAAAGTACAATTCCTTTTCACTTGTGTACCACCTACTCAAAAACAAAAAGCCAAATCAATCAACCCAGTCTGGGAATGAAAAGTGAAGCCCAGCCGAAATACAGATTTCTCTTCTTCTTTGCTTGGCACAAACCAACCAAAGTAAAGGAATGCATAAGCCATCTAATTACAGTACAACCCCAATTAATCTAAAGATAGAAAACGAGTAACATAAATGCTAACCTCGGTTTGAAGCCTTGAGGCCTTCTCAAGAAGAGCCTCCCGATCCTTGCGCTCCATTGCGGCCGCGTCCAACAACCCCGCCTTCTTAAACTTCCTCCAATCATCCATGTCCTCAGTATCCACAGCCGCCGCGGTTGTATGCAATCCGTCGGTCAGAGACCCCAACGACGGTGGTGGGGCGTCTGTTAAAGCCACATCCTTATACCCCTTCCCCTTCCCCTTCCCCACGAGTATGGAGTTAGAAACCGCAAACTTTGCTTCGCTTCGAGGCGTGAGGGATACGGCAGGCCACCCCTTCCTCTGAGGCGTGAACATGATGGGGTTCTATGCAATGTACAGAAATTGAGTCCCAAATTCTAAGAAATGAAATCGTAAACAAGCCAATCTGAAAAGAAGAAAATTGAGATGCTCCGACAATTTCCGCAGAAACCCTACTTCCACCGTTCCGCTCAATGCAAGAGGATGAGAACTGTAATACCCATTAGCGGCTTTCAGCRGTGCTGCAAATCCGAAAAGAATACACAGAAATTGACCAAATAGGTAATTGACCCAAAATTTAAAAACTTCTTTCTTACTGGAAAAATTTTTGCATGTCAGATTGAAAGAGATGAGATAATAATGATGTTGTGACAGAGATAGATTTAGCTACATCTGGCGATAGCAATAGATATAGCGGATTCGCTAGCTAATTTCCAAGAGGATTTGCATATTACCCGTGTTTAAAATGTCGATGTSGATAGAAATGTCGATGTCTCGACGATCGATGGATATTTCGRGAAAAATAGTAGAAATTGTGGAAATTGATGAAAATTTTTTGAATTAGTAAATAAAACTTCAATGGTAGTTTAATTAGCCTATAATTGATTACCTTAAATCATTAAAGGTAAGAATATGATCATTTTACTTATGAAAATGTCGATGGAAATATCGAAAAACGATTTTTTCTGATGGAAATTATTTGAATATGTAAAGTAAACTTTAATTTTGAATGGTAGTTTAATTAGCCTATAATTGATTACCTTTAATCATTAAAGGTAAGAATATGATCATTTTACTTATGAAAATGTCGATGTCGACGGAAATATCGAAAAAAGATTTTTTATTGATGAAAATTATTTGAATATGTAAGGTAAACTTTTGATCGAAAAAAGGTTTTTTTTGCTCACTAATCATTTTTTCAGAGATATATATCACTCTTTTAAAAATCTTTTCTAACCATAACATCATCAATTAAATCAAATGATCACTACCTCCACCAAGTTAACTTAAATTTTTATTTTCTCTCTTTTTTTTTCATTTGAATCTTTCTAAGTATTCTCCCCTCTTTTTTTCCCATTCTTCATCTTATTCTCTCTCCCTCGTCTCTCTTCATGTTTACTTCTCTCTCTTCCATCTCTTTCTTACATATTTTTACCAACTTCAAACTTCCCTTTTTTTTTCTCTTCAAATCTTACAGAATTTTATCTCTCATCTATTCTTCTCTCTGCAATTAATTTCTTCACTCTCTAATAGTTTATTTTAACAGTAGATTGCAAGTTCATATGAAAAAAAATTTCAATTAATGGAATTTTTTTAATTAAATATCAATGAGGTTTCAAATTTATTAAAAATTAAATTTAAAAAAATCTCTTTTGAGGCGACTAAAAGTAGTATTTATTTTGTAATTTGTAAACTAAAAATTTGTTGGGTTATCCTGGACTTTGCAGCAACCTAAAGCAGTTCGTGAAAGAGTAGAACTTAGATTTTCAGAAATTGTCAAGCGCTTGGCACTTTTTCCACTAGTGTGTTTCTCTCGCAAAGCTAATGTAGCAAGCAAATGGGTCGTGTTTTACAAAGAAGCTTGATATTTGCAAACCAAAATCACAACTTTATCACTCATTTTTATCCATAAAACTCAATTGCAATTTGAATCATTTCATTTCATCGAATTCGTTTTGAAAGAAAAAGTCCCTGAGGATTCGACCTTGGAATTACTTCCTTGTACTACTTGTGACCATGTATGCTTGCACGTGGCTCTTATCTTTTGAGGTAGATAATATCCTGAACAAGCTTTTGGCATCATTGCTGGGGACTTGTTTTCAAAATTATTTTAGTTTTAGATGAAGTGTTTCATATTGTGATTGTTGCATACCTTTGTTCCGTGAGATTTAATTGTTATATCTAACCTTCAAGTTCTTTTTTTTCTTTTAGCAAAAAGRCTTTCTTGCATGAGTCCCTAAGGTGGTTAAGGCGAAAACARAGATCAAGAAAACAAAAGAAAAATAAAAAARAGAATGAAAAAGTAGGAGAGGTTACTTGTATTGAACAAAGAAACCAGGAGGGGTGTTTGAAATGGATGCACAAATGATGTATAATCTAAACATGGAAATTAAAATGTCCATAGCTCCTATTAATCAATTTGGTTGTTTATATTAGGGTGGCATTCGCCATTCAATTGAATACTGTCCATCTAATCCTTCATCTTTTTATTATCTAGGTCGGCCAGAAAACAAGCAAAACTTTCATCCTTATTCAAATCCATACAACCATGATTGGAGGGATCATTCAAATTTCTTGTGGGGAGAGCGTCAAGTTGAAAGTATCCATCCACATGAGTATATCCCACTAGAATTCTCGACACAACCTAAATAGAGTACGAACAACTAAGGATCCCAAAGCAAATACAATCGTCAAAAATTTCGAGCCTTGAAAAGATGATGGTAGAATATTTAGTGAGAAATGAGACATCAGTACATAACTTGGCAATCCAAATGGAGTATATGGTCGATGAGTTGAGGAATAGTCCACTGGAAGTATTGCCTAACAATATGGAAGAGCAAGGTGAGACAATGAACGTATGGAGCAAGCTTGAATACGACAAACTTGAGCTTCTAGTGGACAATGATGATCCATTAGCCCCTGACGTGATGAACAAGGTAGGAAAGAATAAGGAAGTTGAACAAAAGCAATCGGTAGAGGTAATTGAGCATAAGGTTGCAATGGACATAAACTCATCACTTCTCGATATTGGACCACTTCTCTCTTTCCCTTGATATTCTTTCAAGATAAATYAAGACATAAAGAAGAGAGMGTTGGCCATACATTTCAAGGATTAAATAGAGGAAGAAATAGGAGAGCATGAGATAGGTTAAAATGAAGAATTCTATGCAAAAGAGACGACCACRATTCCACTTTTCAAAAATAAATTCATACAAGTAAGTCACCTCCCCTCGAGTTAGACCTTAAAGCACGACATGGCAGGAGTAGAAAAGAGGTCCAATGAGCTTGAGGAAATGAGTGAAAGTTGAAAGCCTCCAACGTTCTTTAAAGTAAAATCAAGAGAATGGAAGTTTGTACATTAGTTTCATGCTTGTTTACTTTTTTGCATTTTATTTCYTGAACGTTTTAATAATTTTATTTTCTTAGTATAGGATTGGAGTTCCCAAGAAAATAAGCAAGGCAGTGAGCGTTTTTAATAAGAAGAAACAAAACAAGATTTAAATATGGAATGCCTAGAAAAAAAACGCCACATGATGACCTTTTTTTTACTCATTAGCTTAATYGAGGGGATTTTATAATCTTTGTTTCGTTGTTGACAGCATGTTGTTTTGTTTATGTGTGCTTAGTCATGTTCTTTTCTAGGTAGAAATATTTGCTTTAGTTGGACAGCATACTGAGATATTTTGTAGATAACATATTTCATATTTAGTCTTGGAAGTTAGGGTGATATAAGCATTGACATTACATAGACTCCATGCTCCATATCCTACTTCATGTCATGTTTGCTACTGCGATTCTGAATCTACTATCTTTTTATTAAGCATTCCTAATCATGAGAAATCACGAGTCTTGATTACCTTGTCAAGGGAATTTTGTGTAAAATATTTTTTTGGTATTTTTGCTTGATTTTTATGCCATTGTTTTGCTTTTTGATGAATTCTTTGTTTCTAAAATTTATTTTCTTTTTATAATTTTAAAGGAGCAAGGGATAGGGGTGTTTAAAATTTTATCAGGAGGCAGAAAAATCGAAAAACTTTTAGGGTTTATTTTTGCTGGATTTTTGTATTTTTAGTTAGACTTTTTTTATGCTAATTTCAATACTAATTTTTATTTTGACGTTTGAATTTTGTAGGATCGAGAATTTGATGGGTTCAACATTGCGCTAGGCGCAATTTAAGTAGTGAAATCCGAATTTTTAATCCAAATTTTGGGCTTAGTTTTCTTCATTTTAAGTGGGCCTAAGGGTAGAAAAGAAACATATAAATACCCACATTCTAAGCCCTCTTAAAACCCACATGCAACAAAAGAAAAAAAATCCCTAAATCTCATTTATGATTTGCGTAATTATCTCCCAAAACCAAAGCCCCCATTCAAATTTCTTCTTCAAAATCTCCAAGATTCCCTAAATCTCTCCCTCTTGACATATTCAGGTTAGATTTCAAGGATTTTCTCTCTGTTTTTGGAAGAACAACCGAAACCCATGGATGGGTCTTCCTCCACCAAGCCGCACGCAACAAATGAGAAGGGGGAAAAGAAAGTCATTCCACCACCACCCACCCCATCGGGGTTAGTACCTCTTGAGCCGCCTCTACCACCCGAAAGGTATGGTAAATTTCGTTCCTAATGAACCCTGGTATCTTTCAATTTTGAAGAAATTAAGAGATTCAAAATTTGTACCATTCCCCAAGAATGATCCCACTAGGATTGTTAAAGAATATGAAATGAATGAATTAAGAGGGTACCATGACTAAGGATTGGGAGGGAAATAGCCAAGAAAAGGTTGCGCGAGAGGGTGGAGTGAAAGACCATGAGAACTTTTGTAGCCATATAGTGGATTTAAACAAACAATGACAAGAATCAGTGGAAAGATCTAGGAAATTGAGTGATGAATTACCAGCTGTATTAGATGGCATCAAAAATCGCCCTAAGTATGAAATCACTCAACCATCCCCCATATTAGGGCCTATAGAATCATCAATACCACCTCCCACTTCTTTAACTGTCAATGTGGGTGTATAAGGGGAAAAATAGGGTAGTGGCACTCTGAACATGATACCCAGTCCCTGGAACATTCAGATTCTGCAACTGTGGAGATTCATTGAGAAGAAGTGTCAGGCGCATTCTTTGACACCACACCACCAGCCACAATTCCGGGTATTTTTTTCCTCAAATTTTGCAGAAATTAATAATACTGAATTGCCTTTTGAGTTTTGATGGTGTATAAGAGGAAAGGATAGATTAAAAAATCGCCAAAATTCTCGAGCCTGTGGAGGAGGCAGTAGGAGAAAATGTAGTGGGTGAAGAGAATGATAGAATGAATGTTGAGGAGAGAGTAGCCTCTCTTGAAAAAGATAATGAGCATGAAAATTTTCCACAGGATGGAAAACGAGGAAGAGAAGGATGATGACATCTCTCAGTTTAAGGTTCGAATGCGAACTCCAGAGTACAGTCCACACCAAACTGAAAAAGACACCACAACTCCACTYAAAGAAGGAGCATCCAGTCCTGAGGATGCCCCACAAGATGCTTCAGAGTCCGTCTATTTTTCTCCTCAAGGTTTGTCTCATTCACTTTCGAGTTTTAGTTCTTCTGACTCGAACTTTGTTGCTAATGTAGAAAGCTCAAAGGAGGAAGTTTGCTTGGCCGGAGCAGTGAAAATTTTGAAAAAAGAAAAAAAGTCGGTCTGGGAAGCACCAGACACAATTTCAAAACCGTGCACCAGGGCTGTTGTAGCACATTTGGCAGCCCAGAAATTAGCTAGTGAAGGTCCCTCCAAGAAAGCCAAGAGGTCTAAGCTAGTTGAGGGATTTGCAACCCGACCCTTTCGTGGAACCCAATGAAACGGGGAGTGAGCCCATAGTAACTGACTAACATCCAACGAGAGCCAAGAGGGTATGAATAGAGGTAAAAAAGACGGACTTTATGAGTCAAGAGCTTCTAACTGAGAAGTGTTTCGATGAGGAACAAGAACTGATTATGGAGTTCATAAAGCTCCAACTTGAACGACATGGATGGGAGACCTTATTTGCACCTCCTCAACGCATTTATGAGAAATTGGTGAAAGAGTTTTACGCTGTGATGCATTCACATAGGGGACATTTCGTGCGCATAAGGGGTAAGTTGGTAAGTTTCTCGCCCACGACTATTAATGCTCAMTTGGGTTTGCCGGATACCTTCAATGCAATAGGGAATGATCTTATTGTGCATCCCTCTAATGAGCAAGTTGAGGAGGCCCGAAGGTTTGTATGTAGGTTGAAGAAATTGTGGATCGTATCACCGACTGGAATTCTGTCCTTGAAGCCACTCGATCTAAATTAACAAGCCATTGTTCGAACCTACATAGTCAATAAAAAGTTGATTCCGACCTCGCACGACTCTTCCATCAAGAGGAATAGGGTGATGATGATGCATTGCCTAATGAAAGGAATAGAGATCAATTTCAGCTAGCTCATTAGAGATCAGATTCGGGTTCGTTCAGAGAGACGGTRGTAGGTCTTCTTTGCTTTCCTGCACTAATAATTGAGTTAACTTTAAAGGAAGGAGTTGAATCTGACAATAAGGATGTGGTGACACCCAAGAAGCCGGCCACATCAATGAAGCGAGTTCGGGGGTATTCTTTGGTTGGCGAAGAAGATTTTCCTACCACCGCGACCACTCCTGAGACTCAAGTGTAGTTCCTCAAGAGAAACATAATGAGTTAATGCAAAAATACACTCGTTTATTGGCCGTTTAACATGCCACATGTGAGTTCCTCAAAAAGATTTATGGAGTTGAAGCACCTTCCATCCCAAATGATTTGAGAGCCGATCTTCCTTCGTCCTCACGGCCATCCGCTTCTACTGTTGCCTCTTCTGTCGATGATTCTTTCTTTGACGTTTAGGGGAGTATAAACCTCCTATCACTTTCTTTTCTAAACTTACGATTGTTTACGTTTTGAACTTTTAATAGCTTTGAATTTGATTAGTGAGGTTAGCTTTTATTTAGGTTAGTTTTTGTTTGGATGTTCCTGTTGTAAGACGCTTGTTTTTTCTTTAGCATGTACTTTGAGCTAGTTATAGGTTTGTCCTATGCTTATTCAGTGACATTTTTTATGAATTAATTATAGCATGCTCATTTCGTAAATGAATTGCTTTCCTTTTGTTCTTTGTTTCTATATATATCATGTAAACGAGGATAATTTAAGGGAATGAATAGGTTAAATTTCTTAGTCTTTTGATCAAGCCATATTTTATTTTCTACTTTTTGTGTGGTTCATAACGATGTGTTCTGTTTCTTTTTATTCTAAAAGTTAAACTTTTTCACTATCATAATGACTATATGAAGTCATTGTCCTCTTTGTGGCAAATTTTTGCATCACTAAAAAATTCTTTTTCCCAGTGAGGATATTGTTTCCCTTAAGTTTGGGGGGACAGTGCGTGTCTTTTGTTTTGAAAGATCATGTTTTTTACGTTTGGTAAAAAGAGTCGAAAGAAAATGCAAAAAAAAAAGAGTCTTATTGTAAAAAGAGTCATGTGCAAGAAAAATGAAAAGAAAAGATGAAAAAAGAGTTCAATGAAAAATGAAGTGAAAAAAAGAGTCTTTAGAGAAAATAAGAGTGGGAAAAAGAAAAATAAAGTGAGGGAAAGAYAATAGTTATAAGAAACAAGATCGACAAGAAAATTCACTTAATTTTCGCAAGTCTCACTATAGACACTCGTTTAGTTTTAAATGAATGGTGTTAGCATCGTTGAGGGTAGTAGCGTCCATACTAGGGTGACTTCGTGAAATCCATTGTTGACCGGGTTGCTACCTAAAAAGTTTCTATGAGTGGCTGTGGTTGGAAGTTAATGTTAGGACGCTGAAAACCTCAAAACCTCATGGGCTAGTAGCCGGTCTATGTGTCTTCTTGATGTTAAATTTTGAAACAAAAAGGAAGAGTGAAAACTCCTTGGTTTTTTATAAGTTTTTCGTTTTAGAAAGAAAAAGGATTTAGAATCGTTTTTTTTTTATTTTTAAAACAAAGAATGGTTTATAGCATATTGGTTTGAGATTAATGTTAGTAAGTTTAGCTTGTGGAATCCTTCCTGAGATAAAAATGATTCATTTACTTGAACATTTGGATTGTGGTTCATTCATCTTCTTAGCATGTTGTTTGTTTGGGATTGCCGTTGTTATTTTTGCTTGGAGACAAGCAAATAGCTAAGTTCGGGAGCGTGATAAGTTTGACTCTTTACTGCAAAAATGACACTTCTTACTGTCAGAGACATGTTTGAATGTGAAAATGACTTTTTTCCTACTTATTTTATAAAAAGTGTTTACATATCTTTAAAAAAGGATGGGAGGAGAATATTTCTGGGTAAATTACATATGGGATGTTTGGAGATAAATTGAGATAAAATGTGGTCAAACTTGGCAAAAACTCAAAGATTTCCACCTTACAGGAACTATGCGCCTGGCCTTTTTGATGGCAAGTTCGAACCAACTTGAAGCCCTATATAAGGAGAGCCTCTCTTGGCGGTTCAAAAATCAATTAGCATCTCATTCACTTCATTTTCAGTCCTAGATGATAGATTAATTTTGTTGTACTTTTGTCTCTTTGTCATTTTTATTATTTTCGAAACCCTATCCTTAATAAACAATTCTTATATTTTGTTCTTGCTTTAATTCAATTTTATTCAGATTGTACTTCATCTATTTAATTCCCTTAATATTGGTTATCAAGTTTTAAACTCCCTTCAAGCTCGAAAGAGAAGGAGGTTAAGCGTGCTAGAACTTGTGTTCCTTGTTATTATTTGAATTAAATGAATGAAAATTATTTCTTTTATTTCTTCAAGCGCTTTCTTCATTTAATTACGCAATAATTTAGTTTTCAACCTTCCTGTGGAATAACTTGGCAAAAATTATTTAATTTTAGCACGGTCGAAAAAATCTCAGTATGCGCCTGATGCATTTCTAGGTTAGTTTCTAAAAACTTTTCTTTAAGTCGTTTTTAGGTTGGCCATTGGGGAATTGATCTATTCACCAAACCTAATACTTACAAGGTTAAGTTAGGTAAAATAATAGGAAACTAATATGGGATGTGACTTAGACCCTCTAACCCATAAAAGCAAATGAGTTGATAATTACATTCTAGGATTGTTACTACACATAGAAATATGATAGTAGGTTCTCCTAGGCTCTATAGCAACCAAAAACGGTTCGTGAAATAGAACTTAGATTTCTAGAAATTGCCAAGTAGCGCGAAATTTGATATGTGCGACCCAAAATCACAACTTTATCACTCATTTTTATCCATAAAACATAATTGCAATTTGAACCATTTCATTTCATTGAATTCGTTTCGAAAGCAAAAATCCTTGATGATTTGATCTTGGAATTACGTCCTTGTATTTACTTGTGACCGTGTACGCTTGCACGTAGTGGTGGATCTAGAAATTTTGTTGACGGGGGGCTTCATGTTAATTTATGATAAGTAATTCAAAGAATTCATAAAGCTAGCAAGATCTTTTTTGTAAATATGCTTTACGAATTTAGTCTGAATATTAGAATTGTAATAACAATTTTAGCTTTTAGACCAAGATATGCCGATAAATTTATTAGGTAAAATATCTTGAAGAACTATTATTACTTTTTTGATGACCTTATCSATTCTTTTTATAGTATCTCTCAATTTATATTTGAATTAAATCTACAAGAACATTAATAAAAATAAAATTAAAAGATAAAAGATAAAATAAGAATTATTCTCCAAATAGTAAAATTAGTTTAGTTTCATAGTACATGAATTAAAAGTTTAGATTCCAAGATTTCACTAACTATTACGTTTAAAATAACCTCAAATAGTCAAACTCATASTATATAAAATGTGAACTTAATAAAAATAAACCTTAGACAATTAATTTCTAAAGTATTGACTCTTTTAGATTATACAAAATTGAAATTAAAATTTATATAAAATATCAATACTTGAATTTAGAGAAGAAATATTACCTATATGACAATGTCTAATTAAAAACAACAATAAGCCTTGGAATTGCTMCTAATAATTAGATCATAAAGGTTCCACCAACTTATATATTTTTTTCTTTTTTTTTAAATCGACATATTTAATTGTCCAAAAAAATTGACATATTTATATAGAAAATTTGTAATTTCTCATTTTTAATTAATTTTTTAAAAATTGACCTAATTGATGATTTCTTTTATGTCTTCAAAAATAAAATTGATGAAAAATTTTTCTTTTGTAAAACTCACAAAAAAAAATGAATAGAAAAGCACCAATTATGGAAGAAAGAAAATAGAAATTACATTAAAAAAACAAAAAAAAAGCGTGGATGTGCACAGCGACGAATCCAGGATTTTACGTTTGTGGTACAAATGCATATAAACATAAAGAAAAAAAATATATTCATTTTAAACTTGAACTTCTATTTCTACCTTACAAATTGTTGTAATTTTCACTTGTGTCGCAAATTTTATCTTTCGATAGGTTTTTCATTTGAAAATTTGTTGAAAAAAATATTTTTATGTGTCAAAAGAAAAAAGATATTAGTATAAAATAATTTATAGGATTTAAAAAAAACGACACTAGAGTTGTTTTTTATCTTAAATTTGTAAGTTTTGGTAGGATTATTTAGTAGTAGATTTTGTGTATTAATCCAACTTAATTTTGAGAAACTTGATTTTTATGAAACTAGTGAGTTTTTGTGGATTTTTTTTAATTTAATAKAGCTATAAAAACTATGTCATTTATATAAGTTTAGGATTATAACTTTAAGTTTATTAAAAACAAAGAAAATAAAAATGCATTAAAAAATAAATAATAAATAATAATRAAAGAAAAGAAAAAAGATGCATTAAAAATTGTGCTAAAAACACAAAATAAAAAACTTAACGAAYAAAAATATAAAAATAAAGAGAGCACTACCTATAATCGAACTCATAACATCAGAAAAACAAAAATTAATAAATAAAGAAGGAAAAAAAATAAAAATAATATAAAGAGGGCGCTAGCTATAATCCAATCCAAAAGGTTGAAAAAAA